TAGGGCAGCTTTCTTGTTTTTGCAGAAAACCACAAAATGCATATAATGGTAAATTCCTTATGTGCTCCGAAATTGGGATATGAAATAAAATCAGAAGATGTTGTACCGTGCCGATGATTGGCTCCGCTTTGTCTGATTCTGTGCAATACAAGTGACGCTGTTTTTGCGGTAAAAAATCCTGTACAATTCCCATAAATCATCTCTTGTCAGTTCAACTCGTCGCGAATCGGCGTAGCCCCTTTCATCGGACTGGCTTTTGAAAAAGCACGCAGAGTCGCTCGTGTCTATGTCCCATCATCGACTGCGATGACCATAAGGTGGAAGAATTCCGTGCTGAGCTCGAATCTATTATATTGGTCATCAAATCTGCGCATACTGCCGCTATGGTTACTTCAGCGCAAAACTCGAAAGAGCGAAGGATGAGAGGAAAACAGAAGATGTACTGCGTTACCGACAAACGATATAGTAAGTTAGTGAGGCTGCCGTGAATGAACAAACTGCATTTATACATTGTACTTTTCAGGTGGCTGCTGAAATGGTATCAAATTTGTTGTACCAGCACCGATTCGGTGGTTATTTCACGGAACCGCTAATAGCAGGGCTGGATCCGGTAACGAACAAGCCGTATATCTGTGGCATGGATACTATCGGTTGTATTGCTGCCCCGAACGATTTCGTTGCCGTTGGCACAGGAACCGAGTATCTGTTAGGCGTCTGTGAAGGTTAATTAATGCTTTTTCGTATAAAATCTTCACTCAGGATCTTTTAACACTTCTTTATTCTCAAACCAAAGTTGTATTTAATAGATGCGCACTAATATGCTTGGTCACTTTTTTTGCTACAGTAGAATTGTTACACAAGCACACGGCCGCTTTAACAGCGCCTCATGCCTATTTCTACTGCGATTTTGTAGGATTCTGGAAAGAAGGAATGAATCCAGATGAGCTGTTCGAAGCGACGGCACAATCGATGTTATCGGCACTGGAGCGTGATGCGGCATCCGGCTGGGGAGTGGTGGTCTACACAATCACAAAAGACAAAGTGAATATTAAAACTATCAAAGCACGGGTAGATTGAAGTGTTCTGTCGCCGCCGCCACCGCTGCTGCTGCTACTACTACTAGTAAACAGCGTAATTCTGGACACAACTTTATTCAAAAAAAAAAAAATTATCAATCAACTTATCGAATCTTAGATCCTCCTGAAGAGGCACATCTCACGCTCGATTTTTCCGAGGCTACAGATACGCGAAGTTTGCTGCAAGTAGGGTATTTTCCCAGCTCTTCCATCCAGAAATTTCTCATTACAATTCCAATTTGGAGGCGTAGAAAAAGGCAAATTTGATGTAATTTAATAAGGTGGGCGGTGTGCCGCATGCATTTTTTAATGCTTCCGAGCGCAACTCCATGGGCTGCCCAGCCAGTAGGTGGCTGCTGTTTGCAACTCGGCATACTTTTGTGTGTTTCGATTTTCATTTAAAGATTTTGTTGCGCCCTGTCGTATTACTTGTTATGCAAAAATAAATCCATATGCTTTGTTAGGTACACAAACAAGCACTTCCACTGAGCATGCTGTAATAGCAAATATCATTCACAAGACCAGGCGTTTGTTCCGA